GGGACTACAGCATGCGCCACCATGCCTAATTTTTTGTGTATAATATATGTGTGGTATATTTATATATATATATACCACACACATATATATATATTAATGCCAATTAATTTCTTTCTATTTATAGTAGAGAGGGGTCTTGCTCTTGCTCAGGCTGGTTTCGAACTCCTGACCTCGAGCAATCTGCCCGCCCCAGTCTCCCAGAGTGCTAGGATTACAGGCGTGAGCCACGTGCTGGCCTGTCTTTCTGTTTTTATGATTTGACTAAGTATCTCATAGAAGTGTCATCATGCAGTATTGTCTTTTTGTAACTGACTGACTTTACCCAGTGTAATGTCCTCAAGGTTGATCCATATTGCAGAATTCCTTCCTTTTTAAGGCTGAATAATATTCCATTGTATGTATGTACCACATTTGCCTATTCATTCATCCATTGACGTTCACTTGTGTTACTTCCACATTTAGCTATTGTGATAATGCTGCTATGAACATTAGTGTACAAATATCCAAGAACCTCCTTTCAGTTGTTTTGGGTATATACCCAGAAGTGGAATTGCTCAATCATATGGTAATTCTATTAATATTTTAAAATTTTTGAGGAACTGCCATACTGTTTTCCACAGGTGGTTACCATTTTACATTCCACAAACAGTGCACAAGGGTTCCAATTTCTTCACACCCTCACCAATGCTTACTGGTGAAAAAGAGAGTTTTGGAGACAGATGGTGGTAATGGTGTACAAGATTAATGGACCTACAGTATTTAATACCACTGAACTGCACACTTAAAAAGGGTTGAGATAAATTTTTATTAACTTATGTGTGACTTACCATAATAAATTTTTTTTGGAAAATGGATAAATGTTTAGATATTTATATAAAATTTATATTGCAGCAACATTTTTATTGTATTTTACAAAAGTATCATCTGTAATAATTGGAACTTTACAAAAGAAACTAGTTCTCTACCACAGAGAGTTTAAAGACTGCAATGTAGAGAGTGTAGTAATGACTTTAGTGTTTGCTCTGAGTGAGATTGGAAGCCATCTCCTCTGAGAAGAGGAGGGTCATAAGTAAGGGCATGTCATGAAAGGACTTATGAAGAGCCAATAGCATGAGAGGCCGAGGTGGGCGGATTGCTCGAGGTCAGGAGTTCAAAACCAGCCTGAGCAAGAGTGAGACCCCATCTCTACTATAAATAGAAAGAAATTAATTGGCCAACTAATTATATAGAAAAAATTAGCCGGCATGGTGGCATGCCTGTAGTCCCAGCTACTCGGGAGCTGAGGCAGCAGGATTGCTTGAGCCCAGGAGTTTGAGGTTGCTGTGAGCTAGGCTGACACCACGGCACTCACTCTAGCCTGGGCAACAAAGCGAGACTCTGTCTCAAAAAAAAAAAAAAAAAAAGAGCCAATAGCAGATTTTAAGTGGACAATAATCCTCCTAAACACTTATTCTTGACTTTTGTTACTTAGCTCCTCATAGCGCAGTAATGAACAATTTGCAGACTTGAACTTGGCTTGGATCATACTTTGAGTACATTGTTTTTTACTTGGTCTGGCCCCTGCTACCTCTCTGACCTTGTCTCTTACTGCTTCTTCCACACCCCACCCCTGCCCCCGCCCCAATCTTAGTTATTCTGCTACAGCCACACTGCCCTCCTTACTGTTTCCTTTTACATCCCAAAGACCTTCACATTGTACTTACTGTTCTTTCTGTCTGAAATGGTATTCCCCCACATATTCTCTAGCTCTCTTTCCCAAGTCACCCATCTCTGTTCAAATAAGTAGTTCCCTTATCTGTGGGAGATACATTCCAAGACCCCCAGTGGATTCCCAAACTGTGAATAGTGCTGCACTAGGTTGCTGTCAATTGGAACATGCTTCCGTTCATGTTTTCCATCCACAAATTTAACGTCTTTTCCATCTTAACTAAGCATTTATCACACTCTGTGGCAGTAACTTTTGCAATTTGAGATGCAACAGCAAAACTTTAGTATGACTTTCTTTTTCCTTCTTCAAAATTTCTCAGATAGAAGATCTGTTCTTAGTGTAGAACTTAGCAACTTCAGCATACGATTTATTTCCTTTCCTTATTAAATCAAGAATGTTTACCTTTTCAGTTCAAGGAAGCACTTTATGGTTTTTCTTTGGCATATTCAAATGGCCAGCATCACCACTCTTGGGCTTTGGGGCCATTCCTAAGTAAAATAAGGGTTATTGAACACAAGTAGTGCTATACAGTGACAGTTGATTTGATACCTGAGATAGCTCCTAAGTGACTAACAGGTGGGTAGCATCTACAGTGTGGATATGCTGGACAAAAAAATGATTTATGTCCCAGGTGGGACAGAGTGTGACTACATGAGATTTCATCAGAATGGCATGCAACTTAAAACTTATTGATTGTTTACTTCTGGAATTTTCCATCTATTATTTTTGGACCAGGATTGACCAAAGGTGGCTGAAACCTTGGAAAGTGAAGCCTAAATAAGGGGGGACAACTATGTTCCTTATCAGAGAGGCTTTCTCTGACAATACAGGTTGAACATCTCTAATCTGAAAATCCAAACTTAAAAATGATCCAACATCTGAAACTTTCTGAGCTCCAACATGACACCACAAGTAGAATATTCAACATGTGACCTCATGTGACAGGTCACAGTCAAAACAGTTTCATACATAAAGTTATTTAAAATATTGTATAAAATTACCTTCAGGCTATCTGTATAATTCAGACACAAACATTCGGTCCATAGCACCTACCATCTAAGTAAAATGTGAACTCCGTATGAACAGAAACTTCTGCTTTATTCCAGCTATATGCCCAGGACTAGCACAGTGCCTGACACACAAAAGGTACTTGAATGAATGAATGTCTCCAGTGTCCATTATTACTATGACCTCCAGCTCTACTAAACCAGTTATAATTCCCAGATTTCATCCTCTACTTTCATGTTTCTACACCTTTAAATATGCTGTCCATTTTTGCCTGGGATGTCCTTCCTGAGGAAATGATATTCATGCCTCAAGATCTAGATTAAAGGGCCAGGCTAATCCTAGCACTCTGGGAGACCGAGGCAGATGGATCACTCAAGGTCAGGAGTTCGAAACCAGCCTGAGCAAGAGCGAGACCCCGTCTGTGCAGTCAAAGCTTTCTGACCAGAATCAACTCTGTAAAGGGAGACGGTCCTAGGAAGGCTTTGCAGAAGATGAAACCTTTAATCTGGATTTTTTTTTTTTTTTTTTTTTGATACAGAGTCTCACTCTGTTGGCCAGGGCTAGAGTGCCGTGGTGTCAGCCTAGCTTAGAGCAACCTCAAACTCCTGGGCTCAAGCAATCCTTCTGCCTCAGCCTCCCGAGTAGCTGGGACTACAGGCATGCGCCACCATGTCCGGCTAATTTTTCTATATATTTTAGTTGGCCAATTAATTTCTTTCTATTTTTAGTAGG